TCCATCGGTCGAGCCATCGCAAGATATTCGCACCACTGCTTCACCACCGGATCCAGGTGCCCAAAATTAATTTGGCGGGCACTCATACGAATAAAGCGAAACGCGTCAACGGACGAATCCACGTTTAGCTACACGAAATTATACACGTTGGAAACACTTAAAACAATGATATTTCCAATTTTCAGAATGTTTGCTACAGCTCTGATGGCTCGTTGACCACCAACACTGAAAGCCCTGGAAAACGGAGATAATGAAACCATTAGTCTTAGTGTCTACATTGTAATAAATGAAACCTCTACAATAAAGATACACTTAATATTAATGAATAACTCCTTGAAAATATTTGCCATTAAGAAAGTGGCATTTGACTTGACACAGCAGAATTATAAAGTTTAATATTTACTGTGTGAAATATTGAAATGAAATAACTTTGTTGCTTAATTCACCTAAAAATTATCGTCAAGTTTCAAAAAACATCGTTTACATCTCACCAGTAAATGTTGACTACTTCTACTGAAAATTCGAACGCAAAGAATTAACACTTTCAACCAGTGACGGCGCGTAGCTAAAATTAGTGGGGATGCTGCTGCAGAAAATGTTTAGCCTTTGTTTTAAAATGTTTGTATCTTTTTCATAAACTAGGGATGGCTGCTGACATTAAGCTTAAGTATTTTACATTGTACCAGTATAACGAAATAATTAAAGAAAAAAAGTCTCATTATATTAACCCCTTGGCATACTATTTACTTTCGCTACTAACCTCGTGTAATATTTTACTATCGACAATTTGGAAGAAATGCACCAAAATTTCCATTCTACTTCAGGTGGAAATTTCATTTCAAGATAATACATTGATAATAGAATTTTAGCTATTTTGTTTTGATCCGTGGGTAATGAACAACATTGATTGTTATTAAATTAGTCTAGAAACCTTCATCACGAGTCTCACCCGTCATTGTACGACAAGGGGTTAAATGTTACCGATAATATCAAATGGAAGTTGGGGGTGCTACAGTTCCACAGTGCCTATACGCGAGTCGCCACTGCTTTCAACCCCAAACTTCTCAAAGTGTCCCCGGGTTCACCCTGCGCTCCTTTCAATCAAAGTCTCACCTCTGCTGGTACCAACCCCCGGTGAACGAAGTGTCGCCGTCAGGCATTTTAATTTTATTACACCTGCGTTCGACAAGAGATGCGGCGTAGGAGGCTAAGGGGAGGACCTCGCAGCCGATTGCATTTCGTTATGCCGGCCGCGTACGTGCCGACTGCATTCAATGAATGCACGATCTGCGAGCGTGCAGCTCGAGCCACGCGCTGCAACTTGTTGCAAGCGGGCCACGGAGCCGAATGCCGGCGTCTCCAGGTTTATCAGCGCTTTCGCACGCGTACAGCTGCGCCATCTGCGCCCTAGACAGCGCGGTTGGACCCCGCGAGGGTCGGCCAGTGTCGCGCGATACGTCGAACGGTGAGGGTGTTTTGTAACGCTCCCCTGAACACGTCTTCGGTGGTGACACGCGTGCTCCTTCTCCACGAGAGTTTCTCTGCAATCGTATATCTCAATATACTGCGCAATCGAATTAGATTTCAAATATCGATATCATAACCTTGAAACAACTGTAAGTCGTCGAACGGTCAAAACGGTTTTCATTCAGAAGTGTTGATTGTCACTCGCAACACGTGCTGATGCTTCACGCCACATCCACGAGCCATTATTCCGTAGAGATGAATACATTCGAAGAAACATACACTGTGCAATCAAAAGTGGAGTGAACGGGTCCCTTTAAACTGTTCAAATTTCCCGCTCTCGATTTTTGAAGAACATTGCGTAATCGGACGGTCGAATTCAATTCGATATCGATGGGATCGATTAATTCCGTTGGATATTGTTAGGAACGCGTTCTAGTCGTCCGTGAATATTGAAGGATAATCTTGATTAAAGACGAAATTTGGCGAGGATCTTTAGTCCTCTAAATCGTTGGGGAAAGTGTATTGATTTTTCCATTTTTTTGTGTGGTCGGTATTGAATCGAACTGGTGAAAAAAGTGCGGGAATGCGGCGCAGTTGACTCATTCTTGAATTAGTTCGTGCCACCGTTCGTCCGCGACTAATTTCGATCACCGAACGATGCCCGCTGCGGGCAGATTCTCCTCTGGCGTTTCGCGCGTCTACAATTGACTCTGTGCAGCGGTGTGTTCTCCTCGCAAAGGACACGATGGGACTGCGAAATCAGTGGAAACTCTGTTTGCTGTTTGCCGTGACGCTCGTCGCGACCGTCATACAAGGTAGGCTTCTTTGCATTGCGTGACACTTGAGAATTTGAATTTGGACAAACCAGTGGATGAAGGTTGCTATTTTCATGTTATTTAACACTAGAACTATCAAGCACAAAACTGATTTTTCTAAATTTCTTTATAAAACTTATAACTGTATATTTATTAAGATTTCAGTTGGCTTATATTTCAGTATAAGTATTACTGAATCAATTTCTTTAACAATTTCTCACAGAAGCATCTGTACCTTTTTAGTAATTGTAATAGAAGAAATCAGGAATGGTTCATTTTCGCTCATCTGATAGTTCTAATGTTAATGAGTTTTTCTGATACAATAATGGTAAATGCTAATGTGTAGCATAGTGTTTGTCCATGAAATGAGACATGGAATTATTTGACTTGTGGGTCATTTTGACTTTGAACCGTTGCTATGTAGTACCATACACAGTAGCAGCCATATTTTTCGTACAGAGTACTGTGATATGAATGTGTATATAAAGAAATCATGTATTTATCAGTATAAACTGAGTGCTGTGTTTAAATTTTTTGGCATTTATCTTTTTTATTTAAGTTGTTCTAGATATATTTTTTCTATTTCAAACATATTTGGTAGAAAATTCAAGGAAAATTCGGTTGGTAGGAATGTAGAACGCTCTGTAAATAATCGGAAAACGCGTTACCTGTGCGACCGGAAATACCACGTTGACAATTGATTTCACGTCGACACCAGTGAGCAAATATTTGAACAAAAATATAGAAACCCCGAACTATTAAATCATATATATCACTAACAACAGAGTAGGGTCCAAAGGTTTGAATATTTTTCCCGCGTTCCGTTTCAGTCAAATCAGCAACTAAAGACAATTCAATTTTTAAAATCCATTCATACTCATGCTTTCTAATGATTGAAAAATTTACATAAATCAAATTTTCCTTAACACTAGATTTACTGACATTTACTTTACAGTTTGTTCTATTGTTTATAGAAAAATTGTTATCCGTTCAATTTAGATGTTAGAAATTACAGATTTAAGAGTAGACAATTAGGATACATATTTGCATAACTTCGGTAATAAAAATCAACCCAAACATTTACTAAATAATGCTTATAAAATTCAATACGAGTCAAATTGAATCAGCTATTATATAATTAATTATTTATTATCAAATAAAATTAACATTAAATATAAATAACAGGAAAAGACATTTACTTTTTATCTCAAAAATATCAATTATGAATGATCGATGCTATTGTTGTTAAACTTTAACCAGAAACCGCATTTTTAAGGCACAGAACGTCTCTTGTTCTTAATGTTTATTGTTTTTAACTGTAATGAAATGAAAGTCCATGCGAGTGGGGAGAATGCGTTGGGAACACCGACGTCTGAAAGGCATTCTCTTCTCACTCACGGTGATTGTGCCTTTTTTCACAGGGGACCGTGAAAGGTTATGTTTACATTGGAACGGTGATACATGCAAAGAGACGACGGAAGCAGCGAGGAGGAGAGTCCAAAACACATATTTATACAGGCTGCATTTGTGTCGCGGGGAAACACAATACAGGCCTGGGTTCCATTGTTTCCCGTGGTCCATTCTAAATGTTACTGGACGCGTTATTCGTTTTCAGGGGCAACGCGGCCTGAGACTCCCCCTTTTTGTTCAACTTCGTCTTTGAAATTGAACATTTGAGAAGGGACGATATTTTATTCGTGCCTGGCGACCTTTGTGCGCTATTTTTTATTCGAAACCGTACAAATTTCATTTTCCTGGAAACCACAGTCTTCTTTTTTACTCAATATAATTAAATAAAATTCTACACAAAGCAATTGCTCGAACGAAAATTCAATGCAAAATCTAAACTTCAAGTAATAATTAAATTTATTTAACAAATTATTACTACGCTGTAAAAGCTTGAAGTTTACCTGAAGTATTTTGTTGTTTCGTCAAAAATACATTTTTATTGTAATGTCTTGCCACTATGTTTTCATTAAATCGTTGAAAAAGGGAAAGAAGATTTGCATAGAATTTTCAAAAATTTGCTAACGATTCCTTTTCATAACTATTACGGGAAATCTCTTTTGCGAACTACCAACCGAGTTTACGTTTAAAACAATTCTTTTCCGTAAAATAACGTGCAGCAAGTTGCTTCCAACGGAATCGAATTATGTAGTCCAGCTGGGTTGCGGGGATTCGTCAAACAGGGGGAATGTTGTTTATATTAAAAATGATATTTACGTTAAAAATAAACAGCGGGACGTGCTCGGAAACGCGAAACCTTGACGCGCGGTCCGTTTTTCATGGGAGTGAACGCGAGGAAGGCACCGCGGAAAACATGCTCGCCGAAAATTCGAATGGAAAAATGTCGGTGGCGAGGCTCATTCTGCGATGGCCGCCGTTTCGAATCCCATTCGGAACTCCGATCTCATTCTGGACACGCATGATCCGGATCAGAAATCTCCGGCCTCCCTGTTCCAGATTACCCGGTTCGTTTCGCCGCATGCAAAAATTGGGATCGAATATGAACAAGGGGCGGCAGGGAGCTAGAGTCCGGAAAAAATGACGGAAACGCGCAATTGCTAATATTTTTTTTGGCTCCCCGCATGCCGTTTCGTATTTCCGGGGAAAATTTTTTCCTTTCAAAATATCGTCGTCTCAGTGCGCGAAACTTTGTTTCTCGTGACTGTTGTAATTTGATTAAAAGACGCAAATTCTTTCGGATGGCAGTTTGAATTTATTAGTCCGGGTTGAAAAATATTTCATTAACTCTGAACGGTAGTATAATTGCCTCTAGGCAAAAAGAGGATGAACCATAATTTTATGAAGATTTAAAGAAACGAAAATGAAGAGAAAGGTGTTTTACAGAGTAGTTGAAAGATTTCTTAACTACAATAGATCTTTCTTCATTTCTGCTGGTTATATGCAGTTCTTTAAATATATTGAAGTCCTTATACAATCATTGTGTACCATGGTAAATAAACATGACCTAAACTACTGCCCGATAAACACGATGCTCCGAATATGGACAGTATATCAAAACAAATTAACTGTTTTCAATTCATCTGAAAGGTAGCCACTTCTCAAAATATTCACCAACTTGCTGACACGAAGTTTCTGGTCGAATTACATTCGAACGTTCCATTTCGGGATCCCGTGCACCAGCGGAATATTAATTTTTTCCAGCATGAAGTTCAGACATACCGGAATTCAAGCAGTGAATGCCTCATCAAAGGGCAAACTTCATGAAAATTCGAGTGAGGTCCGCTCGTCAGCCTCGTTTCGTTGAATTTTCTCGCAGCTTCTTTAATTTCACGAAACGCCGAGTCGAGAGATCGATTCACGTTTGTATTTACTAGTCGTTTGTCGTGTTGATTTCTTTTAATTTCGAAGCGGCGACTCCCAGCCGCTTCTCTTAATTACGAACATTTAAAACCAGCGCCGCGGCTCGCTTTGGTTTTTAAACAATTTCGAACGTAGCTCGGGCCACCAGTAAGTCAAATTAATTGCCCTACTTTTAATTACTAATTCCGGGCACACGCCTCCGTTTTTTTCCATACCCTTTTAATTGTTCGCGACGATTTTACGCGCCTTCTTTAGCTTTTTTCTTCTTCTTGAGAAGTAACGGCCCATGCATCTGCTTGTCTCATTAACATTTTTACAGAACTAGGGGAAATTATTCGCAGTGTAGCCATCTCTGTGGAATAGAATGCGCAACCTTAACGTCGATGTAGATGTTTCATTTTCTGTGTGATTATGATCGGTAGAATTCTTTTATTGATACTCATTGAAAAACAGGAATTATTTATTTGGGATTTGCATAATGAAAAGTATAATGAAAAATATTCAATTTCTCTTTTTATCGCATATATTTTTAACAGAATGCAATAAAAATGTACAATTAGTAATGCTTATTAAAGGTGTGAAATTTTTAAAATGAATGTTAATTAAACTAGTTTAATTATAAATAAAATTTCACTGGTGTTATTTAATTTTGTATTCGAACGGAGAAAGTTAGAATTCCCCTCACCAGTTAGCGGTCGGTAGGGATATGGATAAGGTTGAAAGTTTGCCGATGTAAATTGTGAATTCGTGAATCCCGCTGAAGCATTGGATTAACGATCGAGTACACCCGCACAGGTCGAGGCAGTTCGAAAGAATCTCGTTTAATTCGGCAAACTAAACAGCGAAGTTCTCCTCGTACCCGGTCAGAGGGAAAATACTTATGCAGTTCGATCGATTTTAAAAGGAACACTCGGGGAACTGAGAAGTTCGAGCAGTCAATGGACCTGTTGCCACTTGTTGAATGTTTATAAAGCGGAATGTAGGTTCAAGATGAGCCCGCGTTACACGGTTCAGCGGTAAAGACACCAAAGACACGAACACACCGGCAAATACTGTTTTGAATATTATCGTGTACATGATTTCTATTCTTAATTATTCGGACGTTTGTCGAATTGTAATGTATATTACAAAGAAGATTATGAAATTGTTAACGATCTTGAATAGGTATCTCTCAGAAAGTGCGAATGCTCTATTTTCTTCAAACACATTATACAACAGGCATTTTAATATTTGACTATACACTAATTGAAGTTTAAAATTCATTCGAAAGTAATTAGTTGATGATAGTTTAACTTCCATGTAACGAATGCTGGATTTACTTAGATTTATTATTCTGCATTAACAGACACTTGAAATAAGTTACTCAACATTTAGTGCAGTAATACACTATATTTCATTGAATCGTATATTACGTTATATAATAGAATGTTATATTAACAATACGTAAAGGATTTTGCTTTATAAGGTATCAGTTACTTTGGAAACTTTGGATTTTTCGTATTCTTTGAATTCTTTATGCTCTTTGGATTCGCTGAATTCCTTGAATTCTTTATACCTTTCAGATTCTTCGAATTGCTCGTATCTTCCAAACTCACTCGACTTATTGTACCCACCGGATCCATCAATTCTCTTGGATCCATTACATTCATTTTTCCCTACCACTCAGTCTCCCC